CTGAAGTGGGTCTCAATGGGCTAAAAATCAAGGAGTTGGCAGGCCGGTTTTCTTCTGGAGGTTCCAGGGGAGAATCTATTTTCTGGGCTTCTCCAGCTTTCAGAAGATACCCACATTTCTTGACTCATGGCCCCACATCACTCCAACCCTTCTGCCTCCCTCTTATAAGGACTTGTGATACATGGGGTCCCCCTAGATCATCCAGGAGAGTCTTCCCATCTCCAGATCCTTCACGCAATCACATCTGCAAAGTTGTTTCTGGAGGTAACACATTCACAGGTTCTGGAGATTAGGAGGTGGGCCTTGGAGGCTCATTATTCTACCTACTACAGGAGGCTCTTTGGTAGTGCATTTAGCAGTGCTTTGCTTTCTCCACCTGTCCCTCTGACTCTCAGAGCATGACTAGGTGTAGATGGAAAGCAGGGTGTCAAGACCCTGCTCAAACTTTTTGATGTGTTGGGGGCAAATTCACCCACAGCTACACTGTGGGGTGTACACTGGGCTTCCCCCAGGAGTGTTGTCTTGGCACGCACCCCAGTGCTGGAGGAGTTAAATGTCATGTAAAGCAGCATGCAAAGGGGGCCTCTAGGAAGCGGGTGCTGTACGTTTAGGAAAATGCCCACTTTGCGTAGGAGAGCACGAGGGTATGGTGCTCAAGCGAGCACTGTCCTCAACCAGCAGCCATTGTGGCACCCAGAAAACAGGGCAGTGGAGGAAGCAGCAGCCATCTGTGAGATGTGGCTGCCAAGGCAGCTCAAGTGCTATCGGGCTGTGTTACCAGAGATAGAAGGTCTTTACCTAAGAAGGATATAGTGCCATTCTCTTCTGCATTGGCCAGACTGTATTGGAGATTGTATTGTATGTTGTGTCCAAAAGCAGCAGTGCTCACCCAATATTCCATGTGCATCCCTATAATTCCCAGCCTCTGTTCCAGGTTGGTTGAATCCATGGGACTGAGTTGTAGCATGGAAACCCCCACCTCTTACCACTGTCCCTGCTCTCTCTCTTCCTTGCCTCATGGACCCTGGACACCAGGGTAACACCCATCACCATCAGCACTCACCTCTGTGTTCCAAAGGCTGCTCACTGCACATGGGAGACACTTGGCCCAAGGCAAGCTGGCCCTGCCGCAGTTAGTACCCCAGCCAGGAGCAGTCGGAGATTGGTAACAAACCCTCCACCTCCCTCCCTCCTGGGTTGGCATGCCCGGGGCACGTGGGCTCCCAGAGTTGCCCGCAGCTGTGCCTGGCTGGCTCCGCACACTTTGCTGACTTTCTTCCCTCTCTGGTATCATTTCCCCTGTTCCTGTCTGGTGTTTCCTGGGAGTGACTTCTGTATAAACCACTCACTGACTTGCTTGTCTCAGACTCTGGGGAATAACATGTGTCTTAATGTGGCATCCCAAGAGGGGGAGCCCCCCTCAGCTGGGTTCCCAAGTGACTAGAGGAGTCACCCTCCTCCCCAACCCCCCTCCCCTGTTTATCTGCTTCAGACTTTGCCTGAGTGAGAAACGTATCTTTGTTGTGTTAGGGCACTGACATTTTGGTTTTATTTTTACATCCGGATCTAACCTAACACAGGGTAGACTGCTCTACGTGTTGCATTTTAAGCTAGACATCGACAAACATGAGCACCCTGAGTATATTCTACCTCTTAAATACCTCTAATCTGCTGCTTCTCTCCATCTCCTCCCTAATCCAGGCCCCCATCCCACAACCGCTCCTCCCCTCCCCTGTTAGAGCTGATCAAGCAGAGGCAAGAGGCATCATTTCATTTGGCCTCACAGGGTTGGGCAGAGCCGGGCCCTCAGCAGAGAACTCCCTCACCTTCTATGAGATCCTCTAAGTGGAAGCACGTTAGTGTGGACACGATTACTCTACCCCCATCACAGCCTTTAGGTCCTGATGCCCTTCCCCTTAGAGGGATGCTGAAGGTCCCTCCGTTATCAATATCCTAAATTGAGGCAAGTGCCAAACCTCTCACGCTTCCTTTATAGCCCTGGGGAGAGAGAGCCCAGGGATTTATACGAATCCTACAGAAACTCACCCATCTGCTTGGCCTAGACCATCCCCCTGCATGAGCAGTCCCCTGCCCTGGGTAGTTACCAATAACCCACGGTTTTCCCTCAGTCCTCCCCATCCTGGGTCTCTCTGAAGGACTGGATTTATTGCTCATCCTTCCCCCATCCTGAAATTCACTCTTTCCTGCCATTCTTCAGGACTCTTTGGCTCTGTGATTGCTTTTCTTTCTCTTCTTTGCTGCTTCAGAAACTCTAAATGTCTTGGTCTTTCCTTTTCTCACTCAAGCCTCTCTCTCTTGCTGGTCCTGTCCCTGCCTGCAGCTCAGGCATCACTGCCATGTGGATGAACCCCAAGTATCAGCCCTCCTCCTGACCTTGCCCGCAAGCTCTGCCTCTCGTTCCCAACTGCCTGCAGGATAAAGTCAACGTCCTGAGCTAAACCCTCAAGGCTCCCTCCATCCTCTCATCCTCATGCCGCTACCCAGGCTGTACAAGATGGGCGACTTATACAGGCAAAGCCCACACTGCCAGTACGTTTCTGTCTGTCCCAGCTGCCCACTGTGTCTCCCAGAAGAGAGACTCTATGTAGAGGGTGGGGTCGGGAGGGCCACCACCCAGAGTTGGCTGAGGCCTGGGGAATGCGCTTGGGCACTCACGGTGGCTGCTCTCCTGGGAGGGAGGGTCTTCCGGAGCAGGAGGAAGCCTGCCACCTGTGTCCCTCTTTCCCAGATGCGGTGGTATATGCTGCTTCAGGCATCTCTCTTGCATGGGATACGAACAAATGGTGGTGTGGATGGACAATGGCAAAGAAGATTTGGGGTTTGAAATCATATAATTTGAAAGCTGAAGAGGCTGGGGATGTATTTGAGGGCCATCAAGGACAGAGGATCCCATGAATGTGTCACTGGATGTGGGGTTTAGGGGGCATCTCTTGGTGGAACATATTTGGAGTGGGGCCCTCTATCCTCTGACCAGGCAGGACTGCACACTCCTCCACCTGGTTGTTTGTTCACTAGCTCTGAACTAGACTGAAGAACAAAAGGACAGCAACTTGTCTGTTTCCCTTCCCTGATTCCCCAACGCTGTTCCCCTCTCCCAATTCCCCAATTAAAAAAAAAAAGAGTATTGATGGCAGTCAGTGGCTTTTTGCTCATCCAGATGCTTCATTCTTGCAGCCTTAAGTGCGGTCCCTGAGCCTCTTTTCCCCAGGCTGGGAGCTCAGCTGTGCTGACTGGGTCAACTCCAAGCTATCCACCCTCCCTTTCCACCTAATCTCTGCTAACACTTTGCCTAAATCTTGCCCCACCTCAGTGCCATTTCTGACATTTGCATGGCCTGAGCAACAGCGGGGTAGGTGGGGGGAGGCTGAGTTGCAGAGATTGTCTGGTCCTACAAGGTCCAGTGGCAAGAGCCCAAGAGAGCAGAGATTGCCTGATATGGAGGGGGCTGGGCTCTAGAGGGGCATCTAGGGGCCCTTGCGCTGTTCCCAGGCCCTGAGAACCAGAAAAGCATGGGGTGAATACAGGTCTGCACCATTTGTGCTGATGGAGGCAGTGGCAGGATGTGTGTGTGTGTGTGTGTGTGTGTGTGTGTGTGTGTGTGTGTGGTGAGTGAGTCATCAGGGAGGGGCAGAGGCCCAGGGGCGCTCACAGGATAGATCTTCCCCAATCCTTCCTATTAGGGCACAAGAGACTGAGTGGCAGTTTGGTTTTTTTTTTCCCCCAGCAAGATCTAACGCTGGCATTTCAAGGGTTTTCACCCACTCATGGCCCAGAGATCCTCAAATATTGAAACTTACTGAATCACCTGGGGCTTGTTCAGCGTGGAGATTTGCAGATCTGGTCCAAACACTGTACACTGGGGGAATCCTCATCAGGGTGCCAGCTTCTTGCTGAGGGCATCGGGTAGATACCTCTGAGAATGTCCTGGGAAGGAGGCAGCCTTGCAAAGATGCTGAGCAGAGGGGTCAGGCCCACAGGCGGTCAGGAAGGTGGTGAGAGTGAGAGGTGAGGGAGGAAGCACCTGCTAACTGGAGGCGGGGCTGAGAAAGGAGCTGTATCTCAAAGGGGGCTGCGCCAGGTGGGGGCTGCTCAGCGTTGGTCGGCTAGAAACAGAAATGGTGGGACTTCAGGAAGTTGAGAGCTGGAAGGGTCAGCCCCTTTGAGATTCAAAAATAGAAAAATCCCCTCGAGCAGGAAAATATAAAACTGTTCATATGTAGTAACTAGCACTAATCAGCACTTTCAAGAGGAACTCAACAAGCAGGGTTTGCTAGAGCTCACTCAGAGAACGCAGGCAGAAGCGGCAGGAAACGCAACCAGAGCATTAAAAATAAATACACAAAACTCTGAGCTAATGTATATAGCTCAGAGCCCACTCTGGAGTAGACCTCCAGCAAGCAAATTTCAGCTCTTACATGGGTAACCTTCTGCAACTTAACCTCTTTATGCCTCAGTTTTCTCTTCTAAAAAATAGTGCGAGTAATTATCTTACTGCATTAGGTTATCATGAGGATTAAATGAGTTAATATATATAAGAAAGTTAGAACAATGTCAGGCATTTAGTAACACCGCATAATCATGTGTCATTGTTGTTATTTAGAATTCGGACATCTAGGACCCAGAACCCATGGCAGATCTATTTAGATTCTTGCTACTCAAAATTTGGTCCACAGACCAGAAGCAGCAGCAACATCTGTGAACTTGTTAGAAATGCAGCCTTGGGCCCAGTCCTGGATGCTCTGCACCAGAATCTGCATTTCAGGAGAGCCCAGGTGAATGATGAGCACGTTCAAGTGTGTGAAGCATTGCTTTAGAGAACACCGGCGGTGGCCACCCCCAGAAACTAGGCCAGAGATGGGGCTATTTTGGGGAAGGAGGCCAATAGGATTAGGCTGCTCTGCCTTGGGGTCCCCACAGCCTGGAAAGTCCCCAGGCCCTGATCAGCGGGGGCACTCCACGTGAGGACACTGCTGGGGTCCCTACACATCGGTGTGTGGGGACAGCTTGGTGCTGGGGGCCCCAGTAGGGGCGCGGTGGCTGAGGCCAAGCCCCCAGAGCCCAGGGGATGATGCCGCGAGGTCCAGTGGCGGTTTGCTGGAGTACCATGCGCTCAGGAGATGATCCACCTGCTCTTGACTGGAGACTGCGCGCAGGTGGGCCTTCCCACTTCCCCCCTCCAGACCCTCAGGGGGCTCGGGCATCTCGGGGGGCTCGGCGCCCTCACCCACCCTGTCTCGTCGCAGCCCCCGCGCCCGCATCTCGCTCTGCATGCTGGCGAAGAAGTGCAGCACGCAGCGGTGCGCGAAGTCCCGCGCGTGCTCACAGCACGTCTCGTCGAAGAGCTTCTGCTCCAGGTCCACATAGTTGCTCCAGTATCTGCGCTGCAGGAAGACTGTTTGGTCGAAGCAGGGCCTCAGGCAGCGGGCCAGGAAGGCCAGGATGATCAGCAGCAGGGTGGTGCTCCAGCCGATGGCCTGGGGGTGGGAAGCAGGAGATTGGGTGTGGGAGGGGCATGGGTGCTATACAGTGCGGCAAGCATGTTCCAGTCTCTCCCTTTACTTAGGCCTTCCGTCTTTCCCCAAATCTATCCATCTTCCTATTTAGTCACCCATCCTACCAACCACCTCCATCCATCCTCCCTTACATTTATCTCTCATCCTTGCATCCTTTCATTTATCCAACCATCTCTCCACCCATGCATACAGTCATCCATCTTCTCATCTGACTATATATATCTATCTTCTTCCTATCCAGCCATTCCCCCAACCATCCTTCCACCTGTCCATCATCCATCCTCCTATCCAGCCATCTACCCTCCCATCCATTGATGTTCTCATACTCTTATCCTTCTATTTATCTATCCAACCATCCATGCTCCCACTACTGATTCTCCCAACCTTCCTCTTATGGAAACCAGAATATGTTACCCCAAAGTGTGCCTTTTAAAATTATTTTGAGCTGAAGACAAGAAGGAACCATAGAAAAAACCCTCTCTACCCTTTCCTTTTTTGTCTAAAGGCAGAATGTAAATTCTTTTACTGGAGACAGACTCTTATCAGCCCAGGGACAGCACCAGAGGAATGTGCAAACAAACCTTACTCGATTAGTGGACAGTAAGAAACTTCATGTCTCCTTCCATTTATTTACCTTCCCACCGTTTCTGCCATTGGAAGCTTAAAACTGCTTTCCTTTGTCCTGTCACTTCTCTACAAAGATTTTACTCTTTGTTGAAGATGCTAATATAAGCCAGAATTCTAAACCACTGTTTTGAGTACTCTTTTGTTTAGGTTTCTCCTGTGTAATGTGCACTGCTTGCATTAATAAAATCTTTGTTTTCCTCTTGTTAATCTTTTTGTTAGCATCTTAGCCGAAAATGTAAGGTGGGTAGAGGTGAAGTTTTGCCTTCCTCACACTCCCATCTATTCATCCATCCATTCATCATCCTTTCATCTTTTTATCCAGTCCTCCATCCATCCTCACATATATTTATCCACCCCATCTATGCATCCATTCATCCTGTGTTTTGAGGGAGGCACTGGAGGCCTAGTTTTTTCTTTCACAGAGCTCACATTTTAGTGGAGGAAACAATTAAACAGGTGATGACTGGCTACATGCTGTGTTGAGGGATATACAGGGACTCATGGGATCCATCCAACCTGAACTTGAGGGCTTAGGGGACAGTGAGGTTTAGGCTGGGACCTGAAGGACGAGGAACAGCTGTACAGCATATGAACAGAAAACAGTGCTGCAGGCCACGAGTGGGGAACAACTGGAAGTAGTTCTCTAGGGCTGGAGCCCACCTGTGGCTGACTCCTCTCCCATCTCTCTTCTCATCCAAAACTATAGTCTCTTCAAGGCCCTCCTAAGACTAGAGCAACTCTATGGACCTGGTGCAGAGAAGTCACTCCTCTAAACCATAAGCAAAGACATATTTGAATTCTTGTCATTTGTAGATGTGATTTACAGTCTGTCATTTGGCTTCTCACAGAATACTTCCCTCCAACACACACACACACACACACACACACACACACACACACACACACCCCAATTTTAAATACTCGTGTGAGTATTTTACATGCGAGGAGCGTTTAATGTGCCTGATAAACTAACAGCCAAGTCAGGACTCAAACCCTGGTCCGATTGAAAATTTCAAACTCTTTCCACTGAGCTAGTGAAAGCCTAGACTGTGTAAGCCTACAGGGACCACCAAAATGGAGGAGACCAAACTTCCTTTTATTTTGCATAAGAAACTGAGGCCCATAGGGGGACTGACATGGCCCTGGTCACAGTCTGAACCAGAATCAAGTGTATCCTGAGTACTGGTCTTCTCTTTACTGCACAAGGGGCCTGCATTTGCCACGAGCCTGTCTTGGGTCCCCAAAGGGCTGGGGTCATGTTTCTATTCTCTGTAGCCCCAGTGATACTCTGCATGTGTGGGTTTATGTAAAGACTTTAAGGAGGACACAGCTCAGACTGGGGTACTGGGAGGGGTGGTGGTAGACTCTAGATCTGGGCTGGGAGTGGGGCTGGGTTTGCCTCCAAGATCATGGAGTAGGCACCCTGTGGGAAGCCAGGCATTTGGGGAAAACCTGCACTATAGGGAGGTGGTTAAGAGAGGAGTTATGACCTGGGTATTCAGATCCCTGCCCTACCTTGTACAAGCTGTATGACTTTGACCTTGTGAACTAAACTCTCAGAGCCTCAGTTTCCTCATCTGCAAAATGGGATGATTATGACTGCATTCACTTCATAGGGTTGTTCTGAGAATAAAATGAAGTAATGCATATGAAATGCTGAACGCAGTGCCTGACATGTAAGTGCTTAATAAAGGGTAATTAGTTATTTCTGAGGTGAGGAAAGAATGTATGCATGGGGTGGAGGGCAGGGCAGGGCAGGGCAGTGTGTCTCCAGTGCTTTCCTGCCATCCAGCCTGCCTGAGGATGGGCCTAGCTGACTCCAGGAGGATATGGGTACCTGGTCTCTGCCCTGGGGTGAGTCAGCACTGATGGCCAAGTGCCCACTTCCTAAGGCCTAACACTGTCCTGTCCATGGACCATGCTCCTCGTCCCCCTGGGGACCACCTGCTCTTTGGTTGTGTCTCCAGCAGTGGGGAGGAGCCCCAGGAAGTCATTTGTATCTCCTCACCCCCCAGAACCCACACAGGATATTTGCGAGGGTTGGAAGAGGACCTCCCGAATTACCTGTGACAGGCACCGCAGGTAGCGAGACACTGCCTTTCGAGCAGGGCTGTTCCTGACCAGCTCATCCTCCTTGCAGGGCACCTTGGCCAGGAAGAGCTGCACCTGGCTGGGGGTCATGTTGGCGAGGTCCAGAAACTTCTCGGGGTCCACGGAGCTGCTGAAGGCACACACAAAGCACTTCCCATCAAGGAGGGCCAGCAGGATCCAGACAAGGGGGGCAGCCAGTGCTCTCTGCAGCACGGAGGAACACATATACCTGGGAGCCGAGGAAAGAGGTGCGTCACAAAGGGCAGCTGGGATGCAGCCATAGCAGGAAGGCTATAGGTGAAATGCAAACACGGACTTCCCACGCGCGGTGGGAAATACCAGTCGTGATTCCATCGAAAGAATGGTCCCAGCGACAGAGGGCAGGAAGGAAGGAGGGCTGGGCCCAGGACTGGGACACGGGGGAGCTGATGTGCTTCCTGCTCTAGGCCTCCTAGCAGACACTGTTGGTACCCTGCCCACCCAGGGGCATCTGCAGCTTTGGCGCATAGTTCCTATTCATGTAGAGGCCTGAGAGCCTCCAACCTCAGCCACCTCATCCACCTATGTGGTTCTGCTTGAGGGCTTTGGTGGAGCTCTGATCCCAGAGGGCTAGGCTGAAAACATTGGAACGTTAACAAACCCCAAATCAACCTTCAACCGAAGAGGGACGGGGCCTGGTAGATAAATAGCCCAGCTTCCTAGACCCTCAGTGGGACAATTCTGAGGTGTGTTCTACCCACTTTCCCAGAAGGTCCCCAGAGGGACTAAACCCCAGCTACCTACTCATTATCACGTTTTTTTTCCCAGAGCCTGCTGCTGACAGGAGTCTAAGCTGAGAGCTCTGCCCAATAACCCTCCCAGAGGTGGCACCTCAAACACTTGACCCAGGATCCAGGGAGCCCACCCTCTGACTGTCGCGTGGATTGGATGTTGGTCACAGGACAGGAACCCCCTGGATCCTAGAGGAAAAGGCCAAGGGCACACCCGGTGTGCGTGACCCTCCCTGTGTGGCTGGATCATGGAGCACGGAGCCCCCCAGGAACATGAAACAGGCTGCTTGTGCACAGGATGCAGATGTTTCTAGCTTGCACTGTACACAAACATAAAATGGTGTATGCTGTGTGTGTGTGTGTGTGTGTGTGTGTGTGTGTGGCCTATTCAACGGTGAATTATAAATAGTCTGTAGGCAGGGGTGGCGTCAGCATTTTCTATGGAGGCAATGTGGTTAGAAGGTGGAACCGAGGACTTGTCATGAAGTTATATTACATATGTTTGAGAACACCTCAATTGTCCATGTCAAAGAATAAGGGAGAGAAGGAGATCACAAGTGGGCTAAAGCCCACAGTGGAGGGTCAGGGTTTGGGGTGTCCCTGGCAGTGACTACCCATCACTGAGTGATGTGGTACCGCACCTGATGATGCCTGGGTCTTTCCTCCGATGCCCTGCGGGCCGGCGCCACTCCTCAACCATCACCACGGACTGCCGGTTGGCGAGGAGGCCGCAGAAGAAAAGGGCGAGTGGGGGTGTGAACAGCAGGCCCAGGCCGTAGAGAGCATTGTAGCGTGCCAGGCAGGGGCAGTTGAAGTCGAAGGATGAGTACAGCTTGACGGTGACCGCGGCCAGCAGCAGGCAGATGCCGTTCATCACCGACTCTGAGCTGGACTGGAAGTGCTGGAAAAGCAAGCGGAACTTATCCATGGCTCCCACCAGGTGGATGGGCAGCTGTGATGAAGGGCTGAGAGGCTTCAGCAGCCTTCCTGACCACTGCCAGGCCTCCCTGGGGGTGAGGGGGTCCGGGGCCGCAGGAGATCCTTCTTTTCCAAGGGCTTGGGGCACAAGGGGGAGGTGGCATCCAGTGCCCTGTGCAGCCTCCGAGGTCTAGTTCTCCACGAAGGTTTTCCTGCCCAGCCTGATTGTCCCCCAGTGCCACTCCCCTCCTCTCTGGGAGAATGAGTCACTGCTCTGTGACCAGCCAGCCCAAAGCACCTCCAGGCAAATGCGCCCTGCCCAGTCACTCCATCCCCCACCTCACACCCCCTGCCCATTCCCTTCTCTCTTTGGGGTTTGGATACTGAGGCTTGACAGCTGGTAGGGCTTCCCATGGGGAACAAGCAAATTCTGGGTGTGGTAAGGCCAAGATACTGATGGAGCCAATTATATTTTCTTGGCCAGCCCAGGGAGAGTTCATGTTGGCTTTCACGCTGGGAAGAGCCAGGAGGGGCGCCTTAAGGCTTGACGGCTTCCTGGAAAAAAGACCCTTGAAAAGAGTTAAGCCATGTTTCAGTGTCTGCCAGTGAAAGGTATTATGGAAGGGGAAGACCTTCCAGGTAGAGGGTACTGCGTGAGCAAATGCATGGAGGTGAGAATCAGCCTGGTGTGACCCGCAGTTTGGGGTTGCTGGGATGTAGTGTCAGACAGAGGGCTGGCAACCCTCCCCTCCATTTTTTTCCTGCTGCTTTCTAGATCTGGCCACTGCACAGTTTCCACTGCATCCTTCCTCTGCTCAGGTGTGACTGGGGGCTCCTCAGCCTCCTTAGCTTGGCATTCAAGGCCCTCTTAACTGTACCCAGAGCTGTCTTCCCTCCACACTTTTGCCGACACCATCCCCTCCGTTGAAAAACAATGTCCCTTTCTCCCACCTGTTCTTCAGGGAGCAGCTCAAGTGCAGTCCTGTCACCAAGGCACTCCTGGTGACCTCAGCTCTGTGGGAGCCTCGGCCTGTCAGTAATCTCTTCTAGGTGTGGGAGGTGGAAGTTCCGTCTAGGACAGAGACCTGCACCTGCACCATTTGTTCCCTGCAGCATCCAGCATAGTGCCAAACACGCAGCAAGTGACAGAAAACGTTTGTTCTCTGTGATGTTGGCGTTCAGGTCCTCTTTATGTCATCTCTAGCTTTGTCCTCTCTGTCCACCTCTTGGCTTGTACCTGCCTCCCTGTCTGTAACTAGGAAGCAAATGAGTAGAATGTAGGTCCTGCTCTCAATTTCTCTCTCTCTGTCTCTCTCCCTTTGTCTCTTTCTCATCCTGTCCCTCTCTCTGTCTCTCTGTCTCTCTGTCTCTCTCTCTCTCTGCATGTCTCACTCTCTGTATCCCTCGGTGTGTGTTTCTGGGTCTTTCTGTGTGTCTCTGTCTCTGTCCTCTCTCTATATTATTGCCTCTTCCTGTCTTTCTATCTTTCCCTTCTCCTTGCCTGATGTCCATTCCGTAGCACTTCAGGCCTGATTGGCAGCCTGACTTGGGAGAGGTGTGAAGACAGCCACAGGTGCCCACAGGTCTGTTCCTGGGGCCACAGATCAGTGGGCCTTGGGCCTGGAGCATGGGCTGGGGGCTGGTGAGGTATCCAGACTCCAACTACTCAGGCTCTTCCCCAATCTTCATCCCTCTGGCTCCCTCACTGCCAGTCCAGGGCCACCCCTGAGATAAGAAAAACCTCAAAGACTAGGGTGGTCTTAACCCCACTGACCCTGCTCTATCCAGCCTGGAACTGCTGGCATCCTGGACTCGAAGTATTGGCCTTCGTTAAATTCATGCATCAACACTGCTGTCCTTTCCTCAGAATCTGGGTCCTCAGGGTCACAAATGTACCGTAGCTTCCCGCCAACCCTCCAGAGCACGTGAGGAAAGCGTTCTTCTGAACCCTCCCGTCCTCAGAGGCCCAGCTCTAACCTGCTGTCTCCATGGAGCTTGCCAGGACTACTGCAGCTGCACTGCCCACTCTTGTTTCCATATTCTCCAACAGCTTTTAGAAAATGCAAATATCTCCATTTTTCCTAATTAAACACACTGTTATAAAACACTTAAAAATAGAGAACATGGAAGTGTCCCATCACAGCAATCCCCAGACAGTCTTTGGGTCACTGCAAGGGTGTGTGTTCTTCCAGATTGTTCCACGGCACACAAGGACCCATGCTGGCTGGCCTGCCTGGAGTTCCTAGGGAGAATTGTTAACCACTGTTAATTAGCCACTGGGTCCCCATGGAGAGGTGGCTCAGCCTGCCTGTGTGACCTTCCATTTGAGGCACGTCTATTCCTTCTCATCACTGGTGCCACAGGTCTCTCATCGTTTCTTGGTTTGAGTGTCTCTGAAGGGTGACAGCCCAGCTGTTAGAGGGGCTCTTGGGACCTGCAAAACGAATTTTGGGGAGGTCGCTTAGCCTGTCCTATAAGTCAGACCATCCCAAATACGTCCTGCAAACTTCATAACTGTCTGTGCAGTCTATACCTCGGATGAGTTAGCAGCAGACAGAAACCTGGCTCTTACTTACTATTTATTTGTATTTTACCTGAATAGTGTGTAACCCGGGTCCTACGAGACAGGATTACCTGTGTGAGGGAAAATGGAGAGGGAGCCAGAGAAGGCCAGGAGAGCCACCTGAGGCATGCAGGTGTGGCTCTGTGTGAAGGGGAGGGCGGGCCATTCATCCTCCTGGGCTCCTACTGCAGCTAAGAACTACCACCACCACATTCTTCCGGAGAGGCTGGGTGTGATGGCAGAGGTCACACAGCCTGGTGGGGACAGAGCCAGGAAGGTAGCTGGGATCCTCCTTCTGTGTATCCCAGCCTTCATCACGCACTGGGCTGCCGACAGGAAAGGAAACTGTCCCAGCTCAATGTTACGCTTCTCAACCCTGAACCACAGGGCTGGGCCCAAGCAGGGAAGAAAGAGGACTGGTCTGGGAGGGTCTGAACACCCCTCTCTCCCATTTTAGTCTCAGGAAAGTCTCCAGAAAAGAATAAACATGGCTTTTGGGAGAACACTGCAGGAAATTGGGACAAGGTCTATCCTGTTCACAGCTCCAGTCTCTGACAGGTGAGATAGAACTCCCAGGTCAGCCTGGAGCCCTGGGCCCCATAGGGGGTGGTGTGCCCTGTGGCTGTACTGGCCTTCGCTATGTATTTCCTGGAAAAGACTTGAGCAAAGAAAAAGGCAAGAAGGAAGCCCATCACAACTTAAAAAAATATTATCTCAGGATAATATTTTCATATTTATATAAAGGGGTGGCTTCACATTTAAAATTCTGTATTTTCTAAATTTTCTACTTTTATAATAATGGTGTGTTAAATTTCCCAATAAAAATCATAAAACATTTTTACTGGAAAAACTCAAAGGGATTAAGGAACAAAATAAAAGGTACAGGGGGATCACACTTTGTTGCCTGGAGCCTGGACCAGCTGAACCAGGAGAGGTAGAACTAGAGGAAAGAAACAAAGGAGAAAGACTTATTTTACTCATGTGTATGGAAAGATATTAACTTGTAGATCTGCTGCATGGTAATACCTTAAGCCAAAGTTTCTTAATCCCCTACCCCACCCCAAGGGCCTGCACCTATATTCTTCAGGGTCTTTTAATTCTGGGAAAAATTTTTTTTAAAATTCATATTTCATTTTAATGATGACAAATCTTTTTAGTAGTTTTAAACATGTATTGACTTGCAATTGAGAGATCTTTATAAAATAGGCCTGTTTTTTTTTTTCTCAAATCAGAGTCTTACAGATATATTCTTGGGGGTTTTCTGGATTTCTTTTTCCCTTTAAATGGAATCTGGATATTTTTTGAGAAACATTGTCTTTATCATTCTTGTGAGTTGCTGTGATTGAGAGGACTCTTCAGGATTGGGTGACCCCTACTGGAGAAACTCAGTGTATCTGATGTGTGAGTAGGGTGTGTGTGTGTGTTATATGTGTATTTTGTGGGTGCATGTGTATACACATGTATGTTATGTGTGTATGTAGTGTATATATAAGTGTGTGTGTCTTCATAAATACAGGTCTGGTTGTGTCTCTTCTTTCTATATAGTGAGTACACTTTCCCCTGAGGTTTCTCTTTTTTTTTTCTTTCCAAAGGAAGACATTGGATGCGTGTCCCACTTCTCTCTCAGGACTGGGAGACTATTGTTCCCTCGTGTCTAGCAGAATAGTAGCTCTCTCTCCATCTCTGAGAGAACTGACTCTCTTTTACCTTGATAACAGAGGCCTCTGGATTAACAGGCCTCTCTGGTCTGTCTCTGGCAAGTCTGGGGGAAAGTGATGTGACACTTATGTGTTCACCCTGGTGACCATATAGAACTATGTGGCCCATTAGGAACTGGGAAAAGGATGAAAATGAAAGGGGGGCTATCTAACAAATGGGATTGGAAGAGCTGGCTAACCACTGGGGGAAAACTTCAACTGAATCTCCACCTCATTCTTTATACCAAAATAAATTCCAAATGGCTCAAAGACACTAACATAAAAATTTAAATCATAAAAATTCTACAAGAAAATATAGGTGATTTTATTTATAATCAGAGACCAGGGAAGAAGGCCTTTGTGAACAGAGTACAGAATTCAGTAGCTATGAAGAAGGTATTAATAGATATAAATTCTGTGGGCAAAATACCAATAAACAAAGTAAAAATAAACTGGAAAAATGTGTTGCCATGCACATGGCACACAAAGGCCTATTTTCCTTAATTTGTAGAAGGATCATATAAATCAATAAAAAGATGAATAACCCTACAGAAAAATAGGCAAAGGATGTTAACAAGTTATTCATTGAAAAAGAAAGACAAGTGGCCAAAAATGCTGAGAAGAGTCTAATCCTCATTCGTAATTAAATACACTCTAAATGACCAGGTGCTTTTTAAAACTCACCAAGTTGTTAGAAACTAAAAAATTGATAATACCCATTATGTATGAGGGCTTAGGGAAACCACCACT